TAGGGAGTCTCTCTCTCTCTCTCTCTCTCTAGCCCTCCCACAAGCACAGATATTCTCTCTCAAAATAAATAAACATTAAAAAAATGGGTTGAGGGGGTGCCTGGGTGGCTCAGTTGGTTAAGCATCTGACTTCTGCTCAGGTCATGACCTCACAGTTCATAGGTTTGAGCCCCACGTCGGGCTCTGTGCTGACAGCTCAGAGCCTGGAACCTGCTTTGGATTCTGTGTCTCCCTCTCTCTCTGTCCCTCCCTGCTTGCACTCTGTCTCTCTCTGTCCCTCAAAAATAAATATTAGAAAAAAACTACAAATACATTAGGAAAGAAATTAAGTCCCTTTCTTTCTTTCTTTCTTTCTTTCTTTCTTTCTTTCTTTTTTTTTCTGTAAAAGGATTGTGTCTGTCATTTACTGGACCCCATGCAGTATCAGAGGTTGTCATTGTGACAAACAAAAATACACTTAACAGATTTCTGAAAGGCTCCTTACTCAGTAAACATCTAATATGAACATTATTGAATCAGTAAAAAGATGTAACTACTCTTTAAAAAGATTCCAGACCTATTTTCTCATGAATATTAGTTTCATAGATATTATATGCTGAAAATGCATTTAAAGCAGTATAAAGGCTGCTTTATCCTAGGATTGACCATCAACTCTAGTCATTATCTACTGATTCCTCCAAAAGTTTGCTGACTAGAATCCCTGGGAATTTGGAAAGGGGGTCCTCAGCCAGAATATGGAAATAGGCTTACAAGCTTAAGAAGGCATTGGAGCCATCATCTGATCAGGACTTGGTACTTTGAAGTGTGTGGTTCTTATTTTGGTTGCTGTTATTGGCCCCCTCTACTGCTTAATAATCTTTAGGAAAAATTCTTTCTAGCTCTATTCTATGAAAGGAACACTGTGTTAAAGACACTCTGAAATATACAGGAAAGGCATCTGTCAGGGATGTTTGGTCAACAAACTTCCCCCCAAACTCCCCCCTCCTCTGAGATTTGCTTTCTAATGCTAAACCCTTAGAGATGTTGTGTTTTAGTTTATGAAAGGAAGACAATGCCTTCACACCAAGAGACTCAAAAAATGGGGAGGGTGCAACATTTGGTAAGACCCCTCCCGTGCCTGCTAGGGGCTTACTCTGTCAGGCCTATCGCTACTAAATCTCTACTACCCCAATGTAGAAAGCAGATTAAGCAAGACATAGCAAGGCAAATGATGATGCCTAATAATTGACAGAATTAGTTCTCTAAGAGAAGAGACAAAGTGGAAATATAGGCAAGGACATTAGAAATGAGCTAATCTGGGACTGCATGATAAAGACTGGCTAAATCACACTAACCTAGGAGTTCTCAACCTTGCATGATGGACATTTGGGGCAGGAGAATTTTTCATTGTGGGAGGTGGTCCTTTGTATTGCAGGATGTTTCACTTTCCATCTGCCCATTAGATGCCAGTAGTGGCCCCTCTCACAACTGCAACACCGGAAGTGTTTCCAAGTATTGGCAAGTGCCCTCTGGAGGCCAAATTTCACCCCGTGTTGAGAATCACGGCACTTGTGCTTCTCAGACTTTTGCATACAGAGCAGCTGAGGGTATTGTTAAATGCTGCTTTAGCAAGTCTGGGGGTAGGGCCTGGCATTCTTTAGTCCAAACAAGATCCCAGCTGAAGCCAATGCTGTCCATCCAAGGACAGTACTTCTTAGAAGATAAACCCCACAGCTTTCAATATGTACAGGTTCAGAGAACTCTATATATAGAGTACACGTACAAAGCATGGATCATTGAAAATACTCTCAAGTAAGGTCTGTGTACCATATTAAGTTATTGTGCATTTAGTTAAGAATGTTGAAAAATCAAACATAAATACACATAAGGTTTTGTCTGTTTTTTTTTTTTAAACTTCAGTGTTTTATCTCCTATTTCAGCAGTTCTCAAACCTTGTGATCTTGATCTTGAAATCTCTTCAGAACTCTCCAAGATAATAGAGAACTGCAAAAGCTTTTGCCAGCATGGGTTTATATCTATCAGTACTTACCATATTAGAAATTAACTAAGAGACAGGAAAATTTTAAACTGTTTGAGATTAGGGGCACTAGGTGGCTCAGTTGGTTAAGCGTCCAATTTCAGCTCAGGTCATAGGCTCACAGTTTGTGGGTTCCAGCCCTGTGTTGGACTCTGCTGACAGCTTGGAGCCTGGAGCCTGCTTCGGATTCTGTATCTTCCGCTTTCTCCCTCAGTCCCTCCCCTGCTCTCTCTCTCTTTCTGTTTCAAAAGTAAATAAACATTTAAAAAGTTAGGAAAACAAACGTTTGAAATTAATTTTAAAATATCAATAACATATGCATCGCAAAGAACATAACTTATATATTTTTATGAAAAATTATTGTTACTGTCTCAAGCAAAGAATTATGGGGAAGAACGTTATTGCACATTTCTGCAAACGTCCGATGTTTGGCTTTATAGAAGACAGCTGGATCCTCATCTCTGCTTCTGCTTTCAGTTTGTTGTGGTACACTGTTTAGGTTGAAGTAAATGAAGAGAATGGGGCCTCACACAGCTTTGCAGTTGGAAAAGGAAGCATTTTAATAGTCATTTCAGATAATATGTGCCTTTTTTTGATGCTACAGCACAGCTTATATGGTAGTTTCTTTTTTTAAATTTTTTTAAAATTTATTTTTAGGAGAGAGAGAGAGAGAGCAGGGGAGGGTCAGAGAGAGAGGGAGTCACAGACTGAAACAGGCTCCAGGCTCTGAGCTGGCAGTCAGCACAGAGCCCGACGCGGGGCTCGAACCCATGAACCGCGAGATCATGACCTAAGTGAAAGTCGGACGCTTAACCGACTAAGCCACCCAGGTGCCCCAGTAGTTTCTTTTTTTAATATTTATTTGAGAAAGAGAGAGCATGAACAGGGGAGGGGCAGAGAGAGAGAGAGGGAAAATCCCAAGCCGGCCTCATGCTCTGTATGGAGCCGACAAAGGGCTCAATCCCGCCACTGTGGGATTGTGACCTGAGCTGAAATAATGAGTTGGGTGTTGAACTGACTGAGCACCTCAGGTACCCCTCAAATGGTAGTATGATAGGGAAAGACAGGACTCAGTAAGCAGAAAGGGAGAAGCTAAGGCTTGAAGGTCCCTGGGTGGTGAAAAACATGTATTTTAAAACATTTTTTCTGGGACCATCTGCACTTGAGCAAACTACTTCAGGCATAAAATTCCTCTCTTAAGAATGTGACAGACTAACTACTCCCCCTTAGGTTTCCTTCATGAATTTGACAAAGGACCTGACTAAAAATAAGTAGACCATAAAATGCATGACCCACAAGGAACAGTACGGCCATAGACCACCCCTCATAGAATGGAAATGAATGAGCCAATCAAAAAGGAATGATAGGCATTTAGAATTACCTAGCTGAGGAGGGTAGAACCTGAGAATGAACAAGGGGAAGATAAGGGGACCCGCCAAAACCCTATGAAACAGTCCCTTGTGTATAGTCCGCAGGTATTCACTTTGAATGACCCCTCTCTGTAAAAAGAACTTTCATACTACTCTTCCTTTCTGATCTTGTACTTTAACAAACTTTTGCCTGCTGCTCATTTTAATTTTGTGTCCACCTCTTCTTTCTTCAAAGCGGTGAGACAACAAATCTCGGGTATTGAGGTAAAAAAAAATCCTGCAACAATAGTGTCTCAAAAGATTAGTTGTAATGAGAAATCTGAAAGCCTATCCATGAACTGTTTGTACTGTTTCACTAAAATTTACTGGTTTATCTTGAAGTTTGAATTGCGCAGTATTTCCATTGATCAACTGGAAAATATCGGTTTACTGAGTTATGTAGCCCTTCCAAACGCATGGTGGCAAATTCCAATACTCTGAATGAATAAGAGTAAAAAAATCCCTAACTTGGGGCCGGGGGAGTCGCCACACCTACTTTGAGAACCGTTGAGTGATGCTGGCAGTTTTATTGCAGCTAACAGCTTCTGCAAAACTTAAAGGACCTTCACAGTATCATTTTGTTGCAAAATAATTCAGTTAGATGAATCTGAAGGGAAGTGTAAAATCTATTTCAAGGCCATGAACAAACTTAACAAAGAAAAGCCTAAAGAAAATAAGTCACTTATACTTTTGCCTTCTAGCAATAAATCAGTGTTAATATTTTGGGCCACCGGCACCTCTCAAGCACTCCAATATTATTATTTTTTTCAAAATGTTTATTTATTTTTGAGAGAGAGAGCATGAGCGGGGGAGAGGCAGACAGAGAGGGGCAGAGGATCTGAAGCGGGCTCTGCACTGTCAGCAGAGCCCGATGCAAGGCTCGAACTCCCAAACCGTGAGATCATGACCTGAGCCAAATTCGGAGGCTCAACCAACCGAGCCACCAAGGCGTCCCCAAAAAGCGTTTCTTTTTAAAGTAAGCCATGCATAGTTTCGCAGCCTGTCCTTTTCATTTAGCATTGTAGTTGGTCAACGTCTCCATAATACATATTAATAACTGCAGAACACAAAAGCAAAGTTTTCAGGTTCAACTCGTTTAAAAAAACAACAACATGACTTTGCTTTAGCAAAGATTAACTTTGCAAGTGGAAAAAAAAATGAAATGGCCCAAGTCTGGACGGACGCCAAAGCAGAAGTTTAGGGAGCAAGGTCGCTCAGCCATGGGTAAGGCTCGCGTCACTCCCGGGATCCCGGTCACCTGCCGGCGCGCTGTGGTGGGGTGGGGTCTGGGGACCACGACACTCGGCGTTTTTTTCATGGGGTTCCATACGGGATCGATGTAGGAAAGGAATGACGCTGGATAGGGCTGCTCCCCGAGACCGAGGGGCCTCTAGCACTCGGCGGGACACCAGAACTCGAGACATTTATTGTCTACAGTCCTCGCGGCAGCGAACTTCAAGGTGGGGGGAGGGGGCCTGGCCGGAAAGACTGAGCATGCGTGGAACGCGCCGGGCGTCCCGTCCGCAGAGAGGTTAGAGGTCGCGCGGGATATCCCCACGCTGGCACGGTCGGAGAGTCCGCTCCCACGCGGCTCCACCCGGCCCCAGGCGGCGCTGAGTATTTAAGCGGAGCTTCCAGGAGTTACACGCTTTCGCCTTAGTCCCCATTCCTCTCCCAAAGGGGGACCCGCGGCAGTCGGAAAAACGCGGACACACGGATCGCCCCAGCTGCGGACCGACTTCCCTTCCCAGGCAGGAAGGAGGGGCGGGAGAAGCGGTGCGCCCCACGGGCCGCGCATGCGCCTCTCACAGACAGCCCCAGAGTGGAATCCTGTTGCCAGATTCGCCGCCACGCCAGGAGTGCGCCTGCGTCGTCGCCGGGTCCCTCCACCTCCACTTCCCCTCCCCCTGTCCCCCGCGGGGGCTCCGGGGCCGGCGGGACCATGTTCACCAGCACCGGCTCCAGTGGGCTTTGTGAGTACCGGCTGCCGCCTTCCTGGCTGTTCCCTACGCGCCACCCTAGGCACCTCCTTGAGAAGCCTGGGGCAGCGGGGACCCTCGGGGTTGCAGGCGGTTTGGGGGCCGACCCTTCATCCCCGCGCCCGGAACCTCAGTGGTCCCTGCCCGTGAGGGGCAGCGGGCACCGCCCCCACCTCACACTGGAGGGGCCCGTGGGGACTGAGGTCCGCCGTCAGCCCCGGCCCCCACCTGGGCGCCCCAGGTGCGATGCTCAGGTGTTCCAGGGGCTGCCGCAGGTGGGCTGGACGGTTAGGGTCGGGCTGGGAGTCCTCATGTGTACCGGGCTCGACCCCTTGCGCCCGTCGGCGCGGCTGCCAGGCCGAAAGAAGAGGCTTGCCCCGGTGGAGCCGATGCTGGAAGCTTGCCCCCTTCCCAGTCACCTTGCTCCATTTAGGCTACGGAGGGACCGAACTGGCTCTTCCCCAGATGCAGAGTCCAGCCTCCATCTCAGGAGCTGGCTCCTCAGGTTTACTTAGGACTCTTTCTTCCTCGGTGTCCCTTAAGAGTTTTTAGACAAATAAAAACTGATTAAAGTCCATTAAAGTGGAAGGAAGTTAAGAAGTCCTTTGGCAGGAAGGCGCGGACGTTGCTGCTGGATGTTGTGATGTTTTCCTTGAACGTCAGCGGTGGTCAGCAGAGAGAGGGCAATGAAGTATATGCAACTTTTTAAACAGCTTTATTTTTTTCACTGAAATTGTTTCTTTGGCTTTTGGTGAGGTGGGCTGTGTGTTAAGTAAACAGCCCTGGGATCAGGCACTAGTAGAGCAACAGTAAACTGTTCAACAGGCATAATTTTCCGATATCTTGTCACTGTTAGTACTTCATAGCTCTCTACATGTGAACTTAAGCTTGCCAGAGTGTGGAAGCAGTTGACCTTTCCAAAGATTAAAGATCTTTTGTGATTGTGGGAAGTCTTTTCTGAGAATACAGGTCTCCGTCTAATTTAAAATCGTCTTCACTTCTCAGCCTCTGGTTTTGGAGTAGATTGAATATTTATGATTTTCCCCTTTTTAAAAAATTTATTTATTGTGAGAGAGAGAGAGAGAGCAAGCAAGCACACACACACACCGGGGAAGGGCAGAGAGAGAGGGAGAGAATCCCAAGCAGGCTTCATGCTGTCAGTGCAGAGTCAGTGCGGGGCTTGATCCCACAAACTGTCAAATCATGACCTGAGCCAAAATCAAGAGTCTGATGCTCAACCAACTGAGCCATCCAGGCGCCCCTGATTTCCTTTGTTTCATAATTGATTTGACTGATGATACTCATCGGCTTCGGAGTAGGTTACAAATACTAGCCAGTTAAAAAAATAACAAAAAACAAAAAACGAGTACTAGCTAGTTCATCTTACCCAAACTACCCTTTGGAAAAAGAACAGAAGATTATGGACACTGTTGGTCAAGAAGGTGGTGTGATTTTTCTTGGGATCACACAGTGAGCCATACACTGGTGGATGTAAAATTAATGGTAGCATCTTTAATTTTAGTTATTTCAACATTCTGAGCCATCCTTACTTGCCGAACAAAATACATGAAAAAATTAGAAAGGTCACTGTAGTGTATTACTGGTTTACTGATCACTGTCAGTGGTTACGACACCGTATTAGACATTGTATTGGCAAAGTTTATTCAGATTTGATACACGGTGACACTGGAGAAAGTAATACTTGATTCCCTATGGCACAGGGTTGATGAGTACTGAATTCTAGGAACCAGACTCCTGCCCAGGAGAGAGGCAGAGGCCAAGACTTCTCAGCTGCCTTGTGCTGTTTCTAAAATAAGTGTATCCTCAGGGTAAGACTTGATGGGATGGCCATTCCTCAGAAGGCTGTGTCTTATGTGCTCATTTAACAAATGTTTTGACATCTGTTGTGGGCTGGAAACTGCTCGGTGCAGGGATTGCAGTGTTGAACAAGTCTTGCCTTGTTTGCAGTGGAGTTTGGGCAGTTTTTCCAGGACTGGTCTTTGGCAAGACCAGGTATGAGCAGTTACCTGCTTTAACATTTTTCTTTGCAAGGCTACCCACTGAGAGGGGATTGATTTCATTTAGGTAAGTTGTGTGGCTCTTTGGTTCTGATCAGAAGTTCTGATCTTGAGTAAGTATCCTGCAGAAGAATAATCTGCCCTGTGGATGATAAGTAACATTCTCTTTTCAAGGGAAAAGTCCCTACTATTTCCTACCACTCGCATATTTCCCTCTTTTTGTGACTAGTAGATAATGGTGATTTTGTGCTGCATTTGCCTTCCTCTCATTTATTCAGCAAGTGTCTGTTGGGTACCCATGTAAGCCACACACTGTGTACAGAGGATAAAGTGGTAAACAGGATAAAGGAGACCAGCATCAAGTAAGTTAACAATGTGATTTCACATAGTGATAAGTGTCATGAAGAAAATACATGAAAGAAAATACATGAAGAAAATACAAGAAAATACAAGTGTAATAGGTTGAGGTTATGGTGCACGACTGCTTCAGCGAGTGTGGTCCGGGAGGATATCTGGGAAAGTGACTTTAATTTTGAGTGGAGTGGAGACCCGAATGGTACGAAGGAGTGGAGACCCGAATGGTATGAAGGAGCCAGCCGTGTCAGAATTTATTGAAATGTGCATTTTGCAAAAAGGAAACAGCAAACGCAAAGACTGAACCAGACACAGCTGGGGATTTTCAAGGTGCTGAAGAATGCTGGTGCTTCTAGGGCAATAAATCAAGGGAACACGTTTGTGACTCTGACCTCGAATTAAAGAATTGACAGTTATGGCCAGACTGAGCAGCTTAGGAGAGGGTAGTGAAAGCCCCCACCTGACGAGGGAGGAGAGGAGGTGCTGGGGAAGGAGGTGGCGGGATGGCTAAGGCCCTTGCTACTCAGGGACACAGGCGGGAATGACTGGTAGGCAGCGTCCGGAGAAGCGGACGGAGGTGACGGCCTGGAGCACCACTGGTGCCTGTCTCATGGTGCTGTGGGGGGGGCGGGGCAGGACTGTCGGTGAGGGGAGCGGTGCTGCCTGAGGCCTGGTGCAAAACGTCAACCATCGAGCTTTCTGGATGGCCATCCATAGCCCTGGGTCTCATCCCCAGAGAGATTGAGAAGGAATATTGTGGGCATCAGAAATCTAATTTTTAAGGTTATCCCCTGGAGATTCTAGTGGACAGAGAGATTTGGATCGGAGCCAGAGGGTGGCCAGCGGCAGGGGCAGAGAAAATCGTTGGGGCCCAGTGGGAGGTGCTGCAGGCCGAGGTCAGGCGGTAGCGGTGAAAATGAACGGGAAGAGTGAGGAAAGATTCTAAAGACGTGGGAGTAGGTGGGGTGTGCCATCAAAACTTGTTGCATTTGGGAGGTGAGGAGGAGTTGGAGGTGACTCCGGGGAGACATTCACTAGGGGGATGCGGAAAAGGGGAGCTCATTTTGGGGGAAAGATGAGTTCAGCTGTGGACACACTTAATGTGTGTGTGTGGGGGCGGTGTTCTGTACTGCCCAGAGATTCCCCAGGGGACATTTGGGGGGAGGGAGCTGGGCTGGACGTGGGTAGTTTGGTGGGAGCTCTGCCACGGACGTGCGTGAGGACACCGGAAGTGCTGAGTAGAGTTAGAGGCCGAGGACAGGACCTGAGGCGGTTCTAGCGGCTGAGGGGTGGTAGGGAAAGAGGAGATGGCAGAGTAGGCAGTGACGGGTGTTTCCTTGGAGGAAACCCGTCTTTTCCCCCCAGTTCAATTTGATTTGTCTTTTGTTGTGAACAAACTCTTGCAGCTGCTATTCTCTCTGTCTCTCACCACGGTGACCCTGATCCCCAGACTCTCCATTCTCCTCGTTGTCTCCAGTTTACAGCCCATTTCTGGCACCTTCCATATCAAGTCTGGAGTTGCATTCTCATCTAGACTCTGAGAGACCTGGTGCTCCTGTCCCGCTACAGTCACCTGGTGTCACCTCGTGTTTGTGTGGCACCTGATCTGAGCTGCGTCCTTGGGTTCAGTCATCTCCCTGGGCCCTGACAAGACTCTTCCCAGTTTCTACCCATATCACTCTTAAAATACCCCCAAAATAGGGGCTGTCACCTGTCTTGTTTATATCCACACTTTAACAGTTGTCAAAGACTTCACATCGAGTGGGTGATACTCAAGTTGAGTTTTGAGAGATGAGTAAGAGTTGGTCTGGCGTACAGACTTTGATCCTTTCCCTTTTCCCCAGGCTAAAGGAATGAAGCACCCTTCCCCCAGCTGAGGCCACCCTCCATCTCTTCCTAACTCATTCTTTACTGCCTTTGCTAACGCCACTTCCTCATTCTCTCCTCTGAGAGGATGAGCTTGGCATGTGGTTAAATCTGGTGCTTTTTTTCTGTTGATGCTGTAGGGAGCTTTTCAGAGACTCCCAGAGTGCTTCAGATCCCCTACCTGTGGAAAGGAGAGAATATTACTATCTGTTTTATTGAGTTGTTGTAAAGATTAAAAGTTATGTGGCTCAGTTGGTTAAGCGTCCGACTTTGGCTCAGGTCATGACCTTGTGGTTCATGGGTTCGAGCCCGGCATCAGGCTCTGTGCTGACAGCTCAGATCCTGGAGCCTGTTTCAGATTCTGTGTCTCCCTCTCTCTATGACCCTCCCCTGTTCACGCTGTCTCACTCTCAGAAGTAAATAAAACATTAAAAACAAAATGAAAAAAACTTAGTGTGTGTCAAGCTTCTAGACCAGGGTTAGGGGTTTTTTGTTTTGTTTTTTAAGTTTTTTTATTTTGAGAGAGAGGGAGAGCACAAGTGGGGGAGAGACAGAGAGAGAATCCCAAGCAGGCTGTGTGTTATCAGTGCAGAGCCTGATGTGGGACTTGATCTCAGGAATCATGAGATCATGACCTGAGCTGATATCAAGAGTCAGACGCTGGGGCGCCTAGGTGGCTTAGTCGGTTAAGCGTCTGACTTTCGCTTGGGTCATGATCTCGCGGTTCATGGGTTTGAGCCCCGCGTCGGGCTCTGT